TGTTGGGACCGATCACTTCCATGCTGCTGGTATAGAGGAGGCACTCTATGCCGCACTCCACACAGGCTTTGATGACATTCTTTGTTCCTAAGAGGAAAAGAAAACATTGTTTTTAGTCTGCTCACTTTTGTGTTGATAGAGCAGACTGTAGCTCAAAGGACACTGTGACACAGAAAGTTTATTCCATCAGTGCAGATTTGAAGAAATCTGCCATTTTTTTTAATGGATTGCTTCAAATTACTATATGAAACATCTCCATGTGAATAATTTAAACAGGACCCATGTGTGTTCCGTTTGTATGAGAGGACGCCACAAATATTTCTGCTCCTAAACAACATGGCCTCCATTATAAACAGTGCACATGAAGTAAAGTGGGGTCTTTAGTTTTTCCTGCATCTTTCTGGCTTCCACTATTGAGGCCATTGTTTACATATCTCAAAGTTAAAAACAAAAATCTACGGAGTAAACACTTGACAAGCTGCATAGTTAACATTTGTTAAAGTGCTGATGAGAAAAAGAAGTGCTGATGTGTTTAATTTGCCATTTGAGCAAAACAAAACAAAAAAGAAACCCACAGAGTTCACAAATACCATGCACAGCTGCACAGACAACCATACCACTCCCTGTAGAGCGACAGACTTATCAGCACCAATGTGGTAGTAGATTATCAGGAACGTATGCCATATTTCACTAGAACAGAGCGAGAGGTTTCACTCGCTACATAAAAACTGAAAAAGCCAAACCAAAAACACTTCTACAAAATCTAACAGTAAATTTGCTGAATATGTGTTGTGATACTCTATTCTTGGCAAAAGTGATGAACTGAAATTACCAGCACTGTCATACCTACAGCTTTGCTGCTAGCACAGTTAAAACTAATCTGACTTTAAAGGCAAAAATACTTAGAACAGGACAGATAAGACAGAGGAACAGACCATAATTTAAGCTTCAATTTAGGTAAACCAGTTCCACAGTCTTCTATGCATAGTGGCTCACTGGCATGATTTCTAGGACACCTAATTAAATACAGGAAACACTAATTAAATTTGTTTGATCTGTGCTTTTCCTCATGCAGTAATGTTTACCCTCTGCAAGCTCTGCTGTCTAGCTTTGGTGCCAACATGTGGTCTGAAAGGAGGTTAAACATTGCAGCTACAGCCTAAAATACACAGGCTATAAGTGTTTACAATATACTGCTGTTAGACTAGCATTTTAAATTTATACCAGTTATGAGAAGAAGAGAGATTTTAACCAGACACTAGAGGAGGAACCAACAAGAATGTGTTGAAGAAAACCCCTTGACGCCAACACAGGGGAAATATTAAAATTCTTGAAATATTTTTCAGGTCCGTGAGGCCAAATGGGACAATCTCCTTGGACAGAGTAAAACAGACAGACGCAACTAATGGATCTTATCAGATTTTTACAGAAGAAAAACTTTAACTCTAGTGGTTTGTTCATATACACTCTAGCAATCCAAATAATTAACATCCATATGGAAAAAAGCTGACCTCTGCACGAGATCTTTGGGAGCCTACAGACAAAACTGCCTTTAATCTGCAGTGATTGTTTTTGGGGTACAGATATTAAAAGCAAAGCCTCACCAGCAACATTTTCATCCCTTCTTTATTACTGTGATCAGTGTCTTCAATCTGGTTTTAGATTCAGATCAATGAAATGTTTTTGTTTTCCTTCATCGCAGCACATCTGGCATGCTGCTGTCAATAAAATTCTTTAGTCACTTGAAAGTCAGCGCCAGAGACATTTCAGGAACTCAGGGAAAATAGGTTGCAGCATTTCCTGGCTGACAATTGTAGTCAACAAGTCCACTGAAAACAAATACCTCTTAAGTATAAAGAAGGCTGAATAGCTTATTCCTCTTCGTCACAGAGCTCCACTGTTTTCCACACACCATTTGATTTAAGGTTCAGTTAGCTGAATATTTTTGAGTTTGTCTAACATGATGCCAACCTACTGTTTTAAATGTCCAAATACCAAAAATATTATAGAGATTAATGATAGCAAAAGCTTCAGTGTTTGAGCCAAATTGATCTCTTGAGAGCCATTTTGCTACATAAAACAGTAGAAGGAATGTTTAGACAGATTTTAAAGAATACAACCTGCCCACCTTCAAAAACCCCTAGAAACAATAGTAAAATAAACCCAGTAAATTCCACAGACCGGAAGAAACGATACTTTTGGGAAGCATTTCAAATAGTTTTCCAGTCAAAAGTAAACTCATTGGTTCACTGTTATTTTGGACTGCTCATACATTTATGAGTCACTAACTTTTCCAGGTTTGAACAAGGTGTTTTTATTTAACTGAGACACTTGACACACAAATCTGGAGTCTGTCTCTGATGCTCTCATGTGCAAATAGAGCTCTACAGTGACATATGATCAGTTAAACCTTGACCTAAATGTATAATTCAACCGACTCTATTTAGTCATAGTTTCAGTCAGTGAATAGTGACACTACTATCATCATGTTCCAAAAAAGTAGAGGGGAAGAAAATGGGTTTCCCCAGCAGTTCGCTTCTCGTCTGCACAAAGGAAACCCATCTCCAATAACAACTTCAGCATCATGTAACACTTAAACTCACCGCTAAATTCCACACTAACAGCATCAGCCAATTAGAGTTGAAGTTTAAGAGAATCTGAGACCTCTGGTGTTTAAACAAAGTATCCTTTCATAAAGACGAAACAACACTTTGAACACACAAAATGACCCTTGACTGAAACAAGAGGAAACCACACCTCAGACCAGAAATGTGAATATGTGAACTATAACTATTTTTCCATTTTTTGGTTGAAGGGAAACGTTCAGCCTTGGAAGTCATCCAAAGTAAATGCAGCCAAGGTTTTCCTCTAAATATCTTTCTGTGGTAAAATGTTTTTCAAAGTTTAACTGTTGATTGATGTTTCCACCCCACCCCTTTTCCTTGTTATCACTTTGATCTTTCCAAGCCTCACCTGTTACGTTGACAGAGTAGATGAGGGGCTCTGGGACTTTGTACCAAACATCAACCAAGCTGGCTGTGTGGATGACAACATCGGCTCCACGGGAGGCCTCCAACACAGATTCATAATCCGTGATATCTCCTTGAATGACAACCACTCTTGTCCGCTCTGGGTAAAAAACATGAAAACAAAGTTAAAACAAACAAATAAACCTGAAAATAATGTCCATATTCTCCTGAGAATTCCACAAAGATGTTACAAATACACTGAGGAACAAACAGTTTGTTTACCAAGCAACTTCAAAACAACCTCATTCTTTTCCCAGCCTGCCCTGATCTCATAATAGCAGTGTTATTTCCAGGTGTGATTTGCATCTTTCCGAATCATCAAGGCAAGTCCAATTTTATCCAAAGTGATAATGTCTTATTTTTAAATTCCACAGAAGTTTAAAACAATATAAGAGATCAATCTCCACTGTTGCGCTGACATGGCAAAAATATTATGAAGGCCTTGAACCTATAAATTATCTACCATTTGTCCTTGAAACGCTGATAGCTCTGCACCTGGACTTTCACACAGAGATTCTGCTGAAATTCAAACTCTGTTTTATGGTTTTGATTCTTAGATGGATCACTAGTCTTTTTTGTTGGGGCATTAGTCACAGCTTTGAGGGTCTTGTCTTGCTTAACTTCTGTATTTTACTGTAAGCAGACCAGCAATCAAGGAAACAAAACATATCTTGGCTTCCAAGTGATTTCAGTAATGTTTCCCAGGAAGCAGGGAACAAAAACAAACACATCATGTGAACCACCTTTGGTCACGACTTCTGGTTCTATGTAAACCAACAGGTTAGCATTCAAATTATTCAGAAGGTGCTGAAAGTCACGGCAGGTGCAACAACAAGACACGACAGGTAAATTAGGGTGCGCTCAAAACACAGCTTTCTTTATGTCGCCAAGGTGATTAAAAGCATATCTGAGACACAAACATCAGGGTATGCCATTGTTTTCCTTATAAGTTAATGCTGTACCTGCTCGAGGTATTTCATTCAAACAGACTGTAATTAAGATGACATAAAGCTGGCACGCTAAAGGTTTGAGTTACGATTCTTATCAGGAATGCGGTGGCGAAGTGATGAAGACCGTTTTGTTTTCTCTGGAGAATTACCATGAAAAGGAAAATGCTGCCGAATAAAACAAACAGCTCGAGTGATTTACGACAATATATCTGCGCGTATGCCTGTTTGCCGGTGAAAGATTTAACGTTAAATCGGTATATTAGCTAACGAAGTTCCGCGTTATAAACAGAAACAGCATTGCATGACTTAAGTCACGAACAGTCAAGAAGCGCTTCTGCTCGTCTTACCTGTGCTGAGATCATTCAAGGTCGGATCTACGCGTTTGTCAAACACCCGTATCTCCTCTAGACTGTCCTCCTTTTCCAGGAGAATTCTCAGTAAATGCTGGCCGAGAAACCCACAGGCACCGGTGATCAGATACACAAGACCCCGCTGGTGTTCCGACATCGTGTTACGCTAATGAACTCTATGCTCTGCAGCGGCGAGCTGGAGCTTTTTTTATACTGTCAGCCTCGCCCCGCCCTTCCCGCCCACAGAGAGGATGACAGACTCAATAAACTGATCCGCAAGGCCAGCATTATTTTAGGGATGAAGCTGGACTCTCTTAATTTGGTGTTGGAGAGGCGAATGTTGTCCAAGATAAAGACAATGTTGGATAATTCCTCCCACCCACTCCATGACATGCTGGCTAGCCACAGGAGCATGTTCAGTGAGAGACTGACATCAAAAAGCACCACTGCACGACACAGGAAATCATTCCTTTATTTATCAGTAAGTGAATTATATGTATGTATATATTGTGCTACTTCTTGTACTTCTTGTATTGTCTGTTTTTGTTACTGTTTGTACTGGCACACTCTAACCAACATAATTTCCCCTAGGGATCAATAAAGTATTCTGATTCTGATTCTGATTTACCCCTTTTTGTGGGTTGATCAGCCACTGGGTAGGTCAGTTTGTTTGAGTTATAAGTATTGTTTGTCAACTTTGAGTAGAGTTCTGTTACTTTGACCCAAGATTTAGATTTTTTTGTGTAATGTAACCAACTTTGTTTTTGGGTTAAATAAAAAGAAAAAAAACTTTATTTTGGACTTTAACCTGTGCCAGAGTTTCCTTCACTGCTCGGCCCATCGCATGGAGGAACCCTAAAATTGGTTCTAATGGCTCAGCGTGGGGAAAAGAATCACAACTCCCAATACTTTCTATTGAGGGCTCCAGTAGATTTCCTTAGTGTACAGGCTGTGATCAGCTGGCCTGCTTCTCTTTGTGGACTGAATTCAACCAGATGTCATCAGATGTTTCATGAGTTGTCCTGGCTAATTTCCATCCTCTACACTGACAGTATACTGTTTATACGAACTTTATACTAGACTGAATTAAGTTGGTATGAAATTAGAATTCAGTAAATGAACCTAAGCAACATCAGCTTCATTCATCTCTGCTACACCTTATGTAACCTAAGTGGTAAATGGCCAGTCAAGTGGTAAATGGCCTGTATTTATAAAGCGGTTTACTAGTCCCTAAGGACCCCAAAGCGCTTTACACAACCAGTCATCCACCCTTTCACACACTGGTGATGGCAGCTACATTGTAGCCACAGCCACCCTGGGGCGCACTGGTGCCACAGTGGCGCTAGTTTGAGAACATAACATACCCTTCCTTGTGCCTGAGGGACATCATGAACTTACAAATATTTGACGGGCTCTAGCCAACTTGTTTTGAGAATAACAAACCTGAACCTGGTGCCTTTATTGCCCTCAATAACTTTTAACCAGTAGCCAATGGCTTCAAAAGTGATGAGGGGAGCTACGGGGGCCTCATCTTGCTTCCTTTACTTTCCTTCTGTCATGAATATATTGTTATAGTAAAATGGATCAGGAGACCTGTGAATGTAAAAGTAATGCCTTACACAAAATGGTCCATGTTTTTCTGCTGATGTTTTTAATATGTTTGCCTCTTGAACACACTCACCTACTTTTCACTGTGAGGAACAGTGGATCAGAAGAAAGTTGGCCTTATAGGGAGAGCACTAAAAAGATGCTCTCCCTTTTTAGTGCATATAGGGGCACATGTTAGCCAGCTGTAGCCTCGTCAACTCAGGTCACCATCTGTTCTCATCAGATTTCACTGCTTCCTCTTACAGTCTATGACAGTTGCAGATGCATTCATTTCCGGCACACAACTTCCTGCTCAACCAACATGCCCTTAAAGTGGCATAAGAGAGCGATCAACTAGAAGTCAAACTCTCACGCTTGTTTCCAATCTGAACATCCATATCCAGCAGGACACTGACTTGGTAAAGAAAAACACAAGATTTTCATTTATTTAAAAAATATTTTAATGCACCATTAATAAAGGGTCCAACGCATTAATACAAGAGAAATATTGCAAATAATATTAAAATAATCATCAAATTAAAAGGAAAAACAATAAAAAATAAATGAATGGAAGGTATGTACATGTTTCCTCCTCATTGAGTAAGGAAACGGAACAACATATTTACAGCTTGGAATCAGTGTGTTTCTACAAGAAACAAACACCTCTACAATATTTACATGTACTTCTTTGTTTTTTTGTTTTTGCTTTTTCCTTTCATCTTTTTCTCCTTTATTAAAGAGGGTTGGTTTGTACTGAAAGGCTTTCATTGCAACAAGAAATATCTTACACATTTTCCTGTTTGGGAAAGAACAAAAAACAGGAGTTTAGTTAAAAGTTCAACATCAAAGTTAAACTTTGGACGGCCATAGCCATGAAAATAAAAAAAAAGACAACACAAAAGGTCACTGAAATCCCCGTCTGCAACGTATCAGAAACTGGCTAGGATTGTTAACCTCGCAGGGACACGGACACTTTCACCTATCTACAATGCAAACAGACTGTAAGCAGGATTTTTTTTTTTTTTGAGTTGCAATCTTTCAGAAGGGATGACTGAAGTAAAATATAATGCATTCTCATGAATTCTGCAAAGATCTGCAACACAAGGGGAAAACAAGAACTTTAAGTCTTTGAACAGAAACCAAATCAAATATATGTGCCTTACAAACAGCCAAGTTTACCTCGAAGGAGTTCTTCTTCTTATTATAACTTTATTTGACTTGGGGCTCTGCTAGAAATGAAAACTTGTAGCAAATGGCTGCAAAGCCAGCAGCATTGTTCACAAACTCACTTGTGTAATTCAGAACTTAACAAAGCAACTAGGGAGAAGGATTTGCAGAAAACGCTTTTGTCAATTGTTTAAACAGGAATTTGTGCGCGTGTTGAAACGAAATAGGGTGATATATTGTAAGCAGCAACAAAACCTTTTCTTGACTTACGTCACTGACATACATGCTTTTAACCAACAAACGCAACGGCTGTGAAACCAGCGTCATTGCTAATAGGATTGCGTCCTTTGTGAATCTTTAGAATTCACCCACAAACAGGGACGTGACCTTGTCGACAACGGAACATACTTTTGCGACTTCTCTGTTGACACAGCAGATAGCGTGCCAAATCATCGCTGACAAACAAGCGATGTGAGTTATGAACGTATACACTCCCCCTCCATTGTGTTGGTGATAGAAACAGTCATTGACAATTTCTGATCCCACCCCCACTGGACATGTGCTCAACTGCATTTCACAAGCACAGCCCTAATTATTGTAGATGAATAAAGAACCCACAAAGAGCGCACAAATAATTTGTTAAAAGCACCTATGTCAGTATCCATAAGTTTGGAGAAGAAAAAAACAAACAAAAAAAACCAAAAAAACAAAAAGGGGAATATAAAAGTTTAGCAGTGGCATTTAAAAAAAAAAAACCAAAAAAAAAACAACCCACACACACTGTAAGCTGAAACCTAAATTACACATTTTCACAGTGGGTTAAAACGGCTTTACTCTCATACAGACTGTTGCAAAACAGGAGAGTAACACACAGTGGAGAGAGGAGAAAGGATTTATAGGGCTGGTGGATCACAAAGCCACTGAGGACAGTGGATGGGTACACTGAAGCTCATTTCACTGTAATATACTTACAGCTAATGCAAATAAGTAACAATACCATTAATAACAGCAATAGTAATATAATATAATACTATGAAATGAAATTTTAAAAAAAGCTCCAAAATAACCCTCACGCTTGGAAATCTTGCATAACTGAAGACCAAATTGATTGAAGTGATTTATCTTAAAAGTTACGCCCTTAGTGAGCGAGTCTAAAAACCCTGAATTTTTCTGGTATTCGTGTGCGTCTCTGTGCGGATTTGTATGGGTGCGTGGTTACAGAAGGAATTCGACACTAGAGGAGTGACTCCTGGACGACGCCGACAAAAGAAAGCCCCTTTCAGACATGAACTCCTTATCATTAACGTGACGGCATCCAAATGCCTCTGCTTCACATCTGGATAAACACCCTGGCTTCTGTAACTGTCAGAAAGAAAATCTTAGAGAGTAGGAGCCTGGCACAGCTCTGCTTGCTGCCAAGCCTACAGATAGTTATGCACAATATTATTTTTGCACGTCTTGTGCATGTTTGTGAATTATTAAGTGCCCTAATCAGCAGTAACTTCTGGACGACATTTTTCCTACCGACTGCTTTTATTAAAGATCAAAGCGTCCCTCACCGATTTGTTTCAGCTACACCCAATAAAGAAAAAACAATATTTCAGAGGCTGATTATGAGACGCACAATACAACTTCCACAGCAGCATGCAAACACGTGAACAAGTGCTGCTCTTAGAGATAATGGCAAAGGAAATGGACACCGAAATTGTAGTTTCACTTCACTAAAGTTGATACTAACAATAGTTATTTACAAAAATATAATCCTTTTGAAAGTAAGTCACGAGGAACATAAAAATGACCCATGTCTGACTGATGCCGTCACTTTAAAAGAGTAATGAAGCCATGTCTGAGAGAGTGCCAATAAACGTTTGTCCTTTTCTATTTTTTTCTCCACATTGTCTCCTTTCAAACGGATGTCGGCATGGAATCAGACAAATCCTTCATGCCCTGACTGACGCAACAACTTCCTTGGAGCACCCGGTTTTGTCCAGTAATACTGCCACTAACGAGCTGATGCTAAAGGCCTTGTCATGCATCGAGAGCCAGATGACACCAATCCATCACCCACTAGCTTGTGGAACTGCCTAGAGAATGAAAACTGCGTGTGAAAAGTGCCAAGTGTGTGCGTGTCTACGTCCTAGGTACTGTGAGGCTGGCTATGAGGCCATGAGGAGGGGCAGCATAGGGTACTGGGGTGGTTCAAGTTACACATTTAGGAGAGCGAACTCATGGGGAAAGCGAGGTGTTTACGGGTATGGCTGGCCATTGGCCATTGGTAAGTGTGGTAGAGAAGTGCGTTGACTAGTTGAGCGTCCCACGACAGTTCTCCGTTCCGCACAGACAAGGGATCTTGTTCTCCTCCAGTGGGAACTTGTAATCGTACGTGATCTCTTCGTTGACGGCAATGGGTTGCTTTGAGTAGATCACAATCTTTTTCTGGGACTCTATGGTGATGACCTTGGCGTAGCAGTTTGGCTGCAAGGGAGGGGAAAAAAAGCATTGACAGACTGAAGGGCGACAGCTGCAGAACTTAACATCAGTCCATATCTAAAGCATGTAAGAGGTAGATCATTGTTGAGTGTTTTCAGACTTACAGTGCAGCAGTGGTTGATGAATCGTGCCAGGTTCCCACACTTGGTGGCATCTATAATCGTATCATGGTCCACTCTGAACAAGTAGCTGCTCCCGATGCCCTGCTGTGCGTAACGCTTCTCTCGATTGTCAGCCACCATCTGCGCATAAAGAACATTTTCTGACTGACCACACCCTCAAAGTGTCTGAAAAACTGCAATTCACATACCGTCATATCAATATTACAATGCAAGAGTAAGGGTCCAACACAGCAGGACTCTTAGAGATTTATTATTTGTATAAGTATTTTACAGATTTGTTTAGTGGCAACAGTGGATAATGAAAACATTTAGATGTCAAGATGGCTGAAAAGTTTCAAAAACCATCACTGGTTAAACACAAAACTCCTTATAAGTCATACCTGTCTTATGTTTTGACCCACATACTCAATGACCATCTCATCAGCAGCAATGGGCTCCATCGCAAACAGACCCCATTCGTGGATTCGGCTGCGTCCGAAACGAAGCCTCTTCTTTCGGAACTGCATCAGGACAGAGCGGATGTAATTTAAGAGGAGCCTTACTAGCAATAGATATTTTTATAAACTAACCTGTCCTGAATTAACAGACAGCTTTAAGTATTTACAGGCTATATCTTTGTTTTATAATTGGTTCTTCAACAATTCAAAAAGGTAAACTAATCCAAGTTGATAATTTGGTGTGAAAACCAGAAAAAAAAAAAATGTTGACTAGAATAAGAACATGCAAAAAAGGCCCACACCCAAAAGTTTGACCACTGACCTACTGTAGTGAGCAGATTTTCTGCATGTTTAGCACAGAGGCAGATCTGTGACTCCGACCCCGGATTTGTGTAACAATGAAAGCCAGAGATACAGCCTCTTTCAAAACCAAACACACACACGCACACAAAAAACGAGACAAGAGCCACCTTCCAAAAAAACGCCTATTCAGACATTGCATTAACAACTAAACAAATTCATCTTGAAACCAAAAGATAAACCCACCATTGTGAAGGTAAAACTTCTGCATTCAGCCCTGAGTTTCATCTTGTGAGGCTTGGAAAAAAACTTTTGCGAGTTTTGATTAATAAACCACAGAGTTCGTGCCAAAATTGGTCTTGTTTGTAGTCTAAGTCTGGACTTAAAGAAGTCCAGATGCTTTTCTTTCCAAGCTACGATGACCTGGATGACTGAGAACCTTCACAGACGTCTTGTTTGTATTGTGTTTAGACTGTAAAACATGTTGGTATATATCCTACTAAATTCAGCTATGCGCTTCTAAAAGCATGGAATCAGTTTCAGGCTCTGGAAATTCATTCCTTAGATGACCTTTTGATTACACTCGTGAACTGTAAACCATTTAATTTATTGTGTCAGGTGGCATAACTTACAGTGTTTTTGTTTTTTAAGCAAAGATTTTTTTTTTTTAAAGTTAAATCTGTTGACAAGTCGCAGGTTGCAGTTTAACTTTGTCCTTTAGTCTGTAAGTGACCACATGAATATAGTACTGCTTGTACCTTAAGCTGGTTGAGTTTAAGCAGGTCAGAGTCCATGACGGCAGTGGTGCCGATGACAGTGAGGAGGCGGCGCTGCTCTGAACGTCTCTCTGATAGCACTCGGTTAGCACCCTGCCAGGAAACAAACAAAAGAGCTTCAGAGAGTGCAACGGTTACACTAAGACTTCATCAGATGGCCTTGACGGGTAACAGCATGAACCTCAATTTCCAATACCCCTGCTCTTGTAGCAGAGGTTCATGTGCGAAAGAGATATGACTGGAAAAGTTATTACGCAAGAATAGAAGCAAGTCTGCCCTCGAATACTTCAGTCCCAACTACTGCCTTCCCTCTATTATGGTTCAATAATTAAAGTCTTCAGATGTTAACTTGTGTTCCTTATACATATCAAAAATTACTCTCATAACTACTGTGAAAAAAACTTGAGTGTTAAAGGGAGCCCAGCAGTGTAACTGTAGCACAAATTTCCAAAAACAAGGAAAAGGAAACTATGGAAAAAAATCAGCTGAAACTTCCTTAGAAACTTCAAACTGAAACAAAATGAACTGACATGTTCTCGTGCTACGTCTCAAACATCATTTTAGATTTTGTCAGACTATGCAACTTCTGTGTTTTTACAACCAATTAATGCTTTGCTTTCAGTACTAAACAGATCAATATTACAATCAAGATAATAATCCATGAGATTACATTTCATGTTTCACCTATAAAGCTAAGAGAAACAGCTGTTTCAATGTATCACCATGAAGTTAAATCATGTGTGTCTGTGTTGCTCTGTGCGCGGGGGAGAGATCCTCCTGAGTATCAGTAACTCTTTAAGCCTGCCACAAATCTTTGGTTTGAAAACATAAACAGGGATTATTCATCACGACACATCTCTTTGTTCCTGATATAAGCACATAAAAACCTCAAAGCAGCAGAGACATATCTCAGTTATTGGGACACTTTGATCAGATAATAAAAGACGCAGACTGATGTGGTGCCCCAGTTACATCTCATTCTGTGCAGAGTCTGAATTAGTCTGTAACTCTAGAAACAGCAAGACTGCATAAAACATGCCACAGTAAAATATAATAATTTGTGTGTATTATTCTAAGGAACTATGCTTGTGTCCATGGAAGCAGTAAGGGAAAGCACAACGGCTAAATGGGAAATACATTACGGAGGAATAAACCTTGCACAGCAACACGATAACGTGGATTTTCCACTCTAACTCACACAAACACTAAGTGAGCTGATTTTTCAAATGTTCCTGCGTTCCATGACAATCTGGCATTGTGTGGAGGATAACTGGCTGCACATGGGACCAATGACGGTGCATCATATGAGTGTCTGACGAGCATCAAGATCATCACCCCCAAGTGACCCAAACCTTATTTGCGGGCATTATAAAAGAGGAACGTTGCATGATGAAATCATAGAATCATCACAGTAATAGCCATATTTAGGCCTATGATAAATGTGTGGGGCTCTGTGACCCCTCTTACTCCTTTTTTTTCTGCTTTTGACTCTAGGCAGACTTATCAGAAAGCTTTCCCTGCACTTACACCAAAGTAATACTCACAAAGAGCTGAAAGTAACTGTTAAAAATACTGTGACGCATTCAGGACACATACTATGTTACTGCCCAGCATTATGCACCGGGCAACCATAGCTCTGTAGGTTAAAGCTGACCACATGAACATATATGCAGTAGGACTATATACATGTAGTGCAACTGTAATTACTCCTGGCACACAGGAAATGGTTCTCACACATTATTTTTAATCAGCCATTACTAACAAATAAAAAAAAATCATCCAAGCTGAACTCTATTTAAAGGTTAGTGCAATACAATCAGCAATTCCAACTTATTTTCCCTAAATTCATTCAAACATTTTTATTTTCTCTGTCCACACGCCTCCTTCAGTGGCTTCATGCCCCAGGTCTTTGAAATTAATTGGCTGTAAATAAAAAAAACTGACTTTTTAAAAAAAATAAATATTTATTTTTGCATGTCTGTGTTTGCTTTAGGCTGGGAGATGTCTATACTTGAGCAAATCGTGCCTTGGAATACAAAGTGATAAGTGCACAACCGGTCTAGCCTTACTGCTTTTGTTTTTTCTAAGTAAATTCTAATGAAGACATAGTGGTTAGTGTGTTTGTGTAAATAAATGCTGCGCTCATGTTTCCTGTTTGTATTTCCAGCTAAGTGGCACCCAATTCAGCAGTATTTCATGGAAGTTACAGACTGAACCCAGTCTTTTTTAATAAAAAACACATAAAACATGTATTCAAATCCTCCAGTTTTTGAATGTGTGATATTTTCTCCTTTATTTTTAAGAAAGGAGAATTGGTTTAATTCTGGATTGGGAATACATGTGCTGTGCAAATTTCTAGAGCTGTTCAACCATGCTTGACGAAAGTTGGAGTTGCACATTTGCTCTGATTATTCTTTCCAAAACACTTTAAAGGTGTGACACTCACTATGATCAAACTTTTCAGGGAACTTCATAAGAATTTATGTGATCGTTAGGATCCTTTGACGTAAATTGGTTTCATCATCTTTTGTTCAGGAAGGAGTAATTCACATGTGACAAATCCGGATCTAAATCAGGAAAAAAGAATTATGGATTTCCTGTGTCACAAACGGGAATGATCACTGTGCTTTACGTGAAATAACGCCTGGACTGAAACATCCTGCCACTGGCCCAGAGGAAGAATTCACTCTTCAACATTCTCGAAATGCAATAACATTTGTACTGTTTTTGAATACTGACGATAAGATACGTGATATGAACATTAAACTCAAAAGCAGTGGACACAACATACAATTTCAAGTATGTTACAATTATGGCTGCCAACAAAACGGGAAAACAAAGGGAAAACTACACGTTTACATTCAAGGTTGCCGCACTTGTTTCGTCTGTTGTTAAATTCATCACACCCTATTACCACTCTAAACCCACTTCTAACAGCAAAGATGATGAGAAAAAAAAGAAAAAAAAAATGTCAGTCAGCAAGAAATATTTGTTTCAAGTAGTCTTGCAAGGAAAAACAAAAGCCTAATGTTTTCAGACATCACATTATTCCTGTGAACGACCACATTCTGACTCATACAAGCCTGATAAATCAGGAAGCCCGACTAGAAACGACACGCATCTCGCACGTTTCTCCATGACTCTTATTTTCACAGTTTTTCAGTTTGTATTGTCCTTCTTTTTTTTTTTAGCATGATTATAAATCAATAATTTACTGATTATTATCAGCCCTTATAGCACTGTTGTTGTTTTGTTGAATTTAATGTTCTTTTTACTGACAAAGAATACATGCCATGCTTTAAACATATGAGCAGTGATGTATGTGACTGAAATTAAATATGATTTGTTTTCCCTGCATGAGTCTGTCTCAACCACCAGACAGCACAAATGTAATGCCTAAAACCTCTGTATTGTAAATGTCCACATACTCATCATCTTACTTCTCTGTCATTTGAAAACCCTCACCTTTTTCCATCTCAAATCCTAAAATTACCACTTCAACTAAGCCAAATATGAATCACCTCCATTCCAAATGCCTGAGAGGCACTATCTAGCCAAATGTTGACTTTATAATAATACCCTGAAACAGCTACAAACCCCTAATAATTGATTACTGAGGCAGTGGAGACCAGCAAAATATTTTTCCTGGAAAAAAAAAGGTTCAACTGGATATCACATTAAAATTCCATTTAAACCCGGCTTCAACTTTCCACACAATCGAAAGCACGTCCACACCAACGTCTCCACTGCCAATCAGATTTACTGACTTTAGGTTGTGCTGCATGCACAGATTCACCTCACGGGCATTTTATCCTGTTCTTTCAACAACAAATGAAGGATCAGGCACAACAGAATCTCCAATCTCACAAACATTAGATTAGGAGAGTGAACGTTATCTGTGAGCGAGTGAACATGAACATTGAACTGTCCAAGTGCGTCGGCCTGTTACCTGATGCCGACTCGTTTTAAGGAAAAGCCAAACAAGTTTCGCAAGATATCTCAAGTATTTCAGCAAAGCTTCTCAACTGCTTTAACAGACAAAACCAAACTGATGTGAGAACAACAGATTCAATAAATGGAAAAGAAATAAAAGAAGATGCATCCAAAAAGATTTGGAATCTGCCTACCGAGGTGTCGACATTCTCCACCTCCCGTATGACCTGCTCGGGTAGGTCAAGGTCCAGGTAGACATCCTTCTCCTTGCGGCTGATGGCGTAGTACCCCTCGCTCCTGGCACAACCGGTCACATGCTCACGAAGCTGCCCATCTGTGTTCTTCTTTTTGCGGCGAGGATTTGGCAAATTGGTTAGTGCAGCCCAAAGGTCAAGGCTGACAACAGGGCACCAAATATCAAAGCATTCCTGAATTTAAAAACGTCGCGTTATGCAGACAATTTAGTAAATTCATAACAGTCAGACTTTTTGGATATTGTGTCACTTCCATGTAAATCAAACCTAGTGCCCATTAGGGCTGCCACAAACGATTATTTTGATAGTCGACTAGTCACAAATTATTTATGCGATTAGTCGACTAATCAGATCATCATCCACTGGACGTAAAACTACAGCTTATTGCACCAGCAGCATCTGCTCTTATATAACTATCATTAGCTTACAGCTTTAAGCTTTTAAGGTGCTAACTAAAAATAAAGACAAGATGATAGTTTATTAAATTTTAATGAAATTTGCAGATTGTTTCGGTGAAGTTTAATAAACTCCTTGCTATCTAAAATATAACAGGACACCGGAGTATATTCTCCAGCATCTCACACTTCTGATAATCAGCTGTCTGCTTTACGTTTATTCAGCTGTGTAAAAACTATAACTTTAATCTCAGCCAAACCGATTTACTCAGGAACAAATAAAATACTAAAAAAAAAAAAACCAAACAACAACATTTTTAATTTATCTAAGTGACTCATATATATTTAACCTGAGTAGCGAAAGACGGCGGTGGGTTTGAAAACAGATTTGCCGGGAGTCCGGTGTTCTCACGGCGTCTAGTGACCTAGCCCCCGGCTAGCTATCGAGCTAGTGGGTAACAGACGTCTCCGAAAACGTCGGAGCGCTTTTGAAAATATGTGGTGTCCTTGATAAACTGAGCCAGATATTTGAGGTTTACACAGCTACATTCTCGCCTGAAAATATGTTAAACGTTTATTTTGTGACCCAGAAAGAATAATAAGAGTAATATTAAAACTAACTAGCTGCCGCCATTGTTGGAAACTAGCTGGGCCGCGCTATGAATTCTGGGACACAGCTGCTTCTTCTTCTTCGGGGTTTAACGGCAGCTGGCATCCTTGTACATGCAGTGCTGCCATCTTCTGTTTCAGTCCGTTATTACACTCTTAAATCCTGCTACTTTTCTGCGTCTTTTGCGATCTTACAAAGCTTCAAACGACGCGTCGACTATTAAATCAGTCGTCGACGATTTTGATAGTCGACGTAATCGTGACTAGTCGACAAATCGTGGCAGCCCTAGTGCCCATATATCTTTGAGGTGAAAGATAATCACTGAAAAGGATATTAGTATGGTTGACCCAATGAGTGTCATTGAGCCAGTCAGAGCTATGGTCATCCTGCAGCAGCTTCTCATAAGTCTTCTTCAAAAACAACAAGTCTTCACCATCCAGACCAGAGTTCCAGATGTCATACAAGATGGTCATCTGCTCAAATTCACTGCGGTTGTCAAACTTCACAGCTGGTGGCTCAGGCGCTGGGACAGGTTTCGACCAGTTCTGGGATGTTGTTACTCCTGCTTCTTGCAAAAAGAGCCGCTCACTCTTCCTCACTTCTTCAACCAACTCTTCCTCAGTGTCTGAGCTGGACAGCTCCCCAGATTCAAGCTCCTCCACATCCACATCTTCGTCCAAATCTGAGTCCTGCAGGAAAGAAAAACAGTCTTTTAGTTTCTAGTCTATGTGGTGTTTACACTAATACAGACTGACACATTGGACATTTCTCTGGCCAGTTAAAGTCATCTAATCCATAACAATATTCATAACTATATTCAGTGACTGAATGTCATTGACATTTTGGTTGAACATAAGTGTTCTTAGAAAAAAAGGCACAGGTGTTGTGCCAAGATGCGGTAAAGATCAAAGATTACAATGTAGGGACTCCAGCAACACTTAACGGGAAGAGGATCAACTTTATTGACTGACCAACGCATTTCGCAATTATGTCTCTAAAATGTAGACTTAAAACGAGATGTCTAGAAAGCTTCTCTTTCTTTTGTTGATAAAATAAATTAAATTAATTATCTAGTCCAGTGTTTACTTGGGCGTGCCTTAACCAATTTACCAATACCAACCTGTTATATGTCAGCTGGTTTACTGATGAAGATGTGATTGGTTAATTTGAATTTTTTTCTGTTTCCTGCCTTTTATTGAAGCACAATTCTATGTGTTACTATGACCCTGATGAAGGCCACAAGCCAAAATGCGTTGGTCAGTCAATAAAGTTGTTCATCTTCCCTTTAAGCGTTGCTGGAGTCCCTGCATTGTGATTTTTTTCATCCTCTCCACACACTTTGGAAGCAGGTGAAGTTGTGCCAGAAATTTTTGCAAAGATTAAACCTGAACCTGAGGTAACCTATTGTTTGGAGCACCATCTGGTATTTCAAATAACTATAAGAGAGGAGATGCCTCAGAATCCGTCTGACTAAGTTCAGGGGGTGAAAACAGCAGAGACTCAAAAACAAATCAGAAACTCATCCAAATTGGTACTTTTTCATATATAGTGCACGAGTTGAGACAGTTGGATTCAGACGAAGTCTCTGGACTGTTACCTGCTGTATTTGCAAAGAGCGCCATCGGACATTAGTCATGTCACTGGCAGGTGGCAAGTTTATGGTTAATGAAAACTCATCTGCGCAAGTAAAAAGTTTTTTATGATGCAAAGCACCTGGCTGACGTTAGCTTTAAGCAATGCTAAGGAAATGTCAGTAATTCTAGTGTGATTGCACCAGTAAGACTGAGAGCAGAGCGCTTCTACAGGGTACACCCTGTTGTTACCCCATCTGTTTTCAGCCAGAACACATCCAAGAATAAAAAAAACCAAAAAAAAAAAAACCAAAACTGTATCACACAGTTCTGTAAATGCAAAAAAACATGCACAAAAACTACATTTCTGTCTACACTGGAAATATATTCCTGGTCTGGAGAGTCCAAAGGTCCAAAGGTTTACCAGCGGATTCTGATTCTGAAAATTCTTTCGAGACGTGTAAAACTCTTCAACTGTACCAATTTCAAAATTCCAACTTTGGGCTTACTGGTAATGAGTCAGTGCTACTGTTGCCTGTGGCATGTTTACGGTTATGACAATCTCAAACACTTACAGGAACAAACGTGACAAAAATACCTCTAATTTCCGCTTCCTCTGTTTCTTGCCTGGCTGCTCCTTCTGCTTTTTTGTGTGATGAACCTCAAGGTTTTCTTTATCTTTTCTCTTCCTCTTTTTGCTTTTTTCCTCTTCAGCTTCAAAACCCTTGCCAATTAGGTTCTTCTTCTTTGGTGATGGAGACACCGGCGTAACCTGGCCCGTATCCTCAGAGTCACACATCTCTCCCACTGCAGAAAAGAATTCTCCTGCATCTCCCCGTGACGTAAGTGGATCTCCAATGACTTCCTCTGGTGCTTCAAGCACCCCAGAAATAGAGTTGAGGTCAGCTGGGAGCAAAACAGAAGAATCTTGTCTGGAGGAAGTCCTTTTGGCACCAGTTGGTACTGGTACAACAGGGGGTTTGCAGTAGTTGTGCTCCATAAGGACGATTACAGCCCCTGGACTCATAAGGAGAGCCAGTGACTCTGGGGCGAAGTAATTTCCTTCCATCTTGTGCTCCTCTGCTTCATCAGATGTTTCTGTCTCCTCTGAGTCTCCAGGATCAGGGTCCATTTTCAAAGCCACATCAGCTAACACAGAAAGGTCAGTTGTTGAAGCAGAGGCCAGCTGCAGGAGGCTGGAGGCCCCAACCTGTTCTCTTAGTCTTAACCTCTGCTCACTTTCTTCCTCATCCTCATCTTCCTCTCTGAGAGAGTGACAGGAAGAAGTAGACAGGCTAGATGTCCGTGGTCTGCCTCTGGACCTTTTGTTGACAGATGGTGGTGCTGGGGCCTCCTCAAAGGCCATCCTACACATAGAGGCATGGTCCAAAGGCAGGTTCTGCACAGTGCGGCACACCATAACAGGAGGAGCAGGAGATTTGGGAGACTCTTTGCCTGCACCGCGTTTGCTAGGGGATTTGACTGGGGTAGTCTGGGGAGAAATGAGGGGTCCTCTCTTGGTCTCCTCGGTATCTTGGGTTCGTCCAGATGGGGGCACAATGAGAGCATTCCCTTCGCCTGGTTTAGAGGCAAAGGGAAGCAGCTGGATGCCCTGACTGGGACGAGATGAATTGGGTGAGGTTGCAGTGATGGGTGAGTCTGGAAGCCTGCCTGAGAGGAGGGGAGATTCACCCGAAACTTGCGACGGAGATGGTGGTGCAGCTGGCAATTGCATTTTGCTTTCGTTCTCGTCTGTAGAGAAGGAGACTGTCTTTTTGCGCTTCTTGAGAGGGGGCACAAGAACGATAGGGGATGTAGGGCGTGGGTATGGTGGTGAGGGGGGATGTTTGGTAGGCGCCGTTGTGTCTGCCTTGCCATCTTTTGTATCACCTGAGAAAAGATACAAGTTTTCAAAGATTGAACTCGAACTGAAGCAATTATGTTACTGGTGCTTTTTGGTGATTTATAACAACTTCTGACTAACCTGTTTTGACCTCTGCCTTTGGAACAGCTGCATTATTTTCCCTGAGAAAAAAAAAACAAGCATTTGAATGTTGAAAAGTACAACATTCATTGTTATATAATTCTGATTACAGCAGTACAAGTGATGTACCTCTCATTGTCTTTCTCAGTTGTGCTATCCATAGTTGACTCATCCATGCTGTCTGGTCCTTCACTCTCTGCCCGCTCTCCTTCCTCTTCATCTTCATCCTCTTCTGAGGATGAAGATGAAGATCCTGAAGATGAAGAGCCTTCAGAAGAGGATGAGAGGCTCTCGTCATCACTGTCTGCACTGAGGACATCATCTAAAAAAAATAAAAAAGTCAATGTAAACAGTCATGATAGCTGAAAATAAGAACATAAAGTTATGAGATTCCTGTTTGTGGCTTACCATCAGACTCTTTTCCACTTTCGTCTTCCTCATCCTCCTAAACATGGGGGGGGGGAAAAAAAAAAAAGTTGTCATCACAACAATATAATCACAGTGACATCCTGCCATCTACAGGTGAGGACAGAATTTGTAACCCTGCTATGAAAATTTCTTTTTATTGCATTCAATTCACTACAGAACTATTTCCTAAGTGGTGTTAAAGAGAGCATGGAATTTTTAAACACAGCTTTTCCAAACATAGTTTTTTTTTGGATGCTTACATTATTTTACTTTGCACACAGATTTCATAAAAACTACCAGGGTTATTACCCCCCTTGATATTAATAACCAACTGCGTATCCTTTTCTTGGATAACAGCCTGCAGTTGTTTGTTATAGTTTTCATCAAGTCACGCACGCACGCACGCACGCACGCACACACACACACACACACCAATCGCAGCCCATTCTTCTTCGGCAAATCTCTCAAACTCCTCCAGAGATTTAATGGGTTTTCTGGCACAGACCTCAGTCTACAGTTCACCCCACAGATTTTCAGTGGGACTCAAGTCAAGGCTCAATGTTAACTTGGCTTTCTGTACCAGGAACAACCCATGCTTGGGTGTTGTTGAGTTGGAGAACAAAGCTTATGTTCTACAAACATAAGCATTGTCTCCATGGCCAAAGAACTCTACTTTTGTCTCATCTGACCAAAGGAAACATTTCTTTGGTTCCAACTTTGCTTAGTCATTCACTAGTGTCTTGGCAGTTGTTAATGGGCTCTTTAGACACCTCAAACCCTTGCTTGTTTTAGTACTGCATGCAAATTGGAAAATAACCTTCAGTTTGAACCTTCACAAAGTCAAAGCACATCATTGCACAGCAGTGGTTTGTGCTATGGCTCAATAAAAAGGTCACATTTTCTGGCGACTTATAAAGGTGACACTGGTAATTTTTGTTTTCTCAAAAAATTGTTATTGTGTGTAAAAACAAATCAAGAAACAACTTATGGTTTCTAAAAAAATTTAAATAAATAGTATCCTTACAAGTGCTATGTTAAAAATCCCTTGTACGTTTTAAAATACTGGTGATCACCAGTTCTACCCCTCAGCCTCCTAATGGATGCACATATAGCATAAATTTGAAAATCCTAGGCGACTTCCTTCTTGAGTTATTGTATTCACAGGATTTTCAGAAGGTCAAGGTCACCGGGAGTCAAACTCATGTGAGATTTTTAGTTGACGCACCAGTGGTATGAATTTCAAAATCCTATGCTGCCTCGTTGACGTCGCAAACTTGGGATGCCCGCCTGCCCAATGGGGTGACAGCAACATCCCATCAGCCTTTTACAGCTGAGAGGTAGAAACTACTTTGGAAAGTTTTGAAAACAACTTTAATTTTCATATGAGGCTAACAATTTTGTTCTTATCTGTAGCTAACTAAAATAAATGACAACATGAATTATAAACTCATGTTATCACATTCATATATTCTAATAATCGAAAGTCATTTTTTAAAAATTGTGTTTTAATCTTGAATCACAATTTTAAAACAAACAGACAAACCTTTTCAGTAGAAGAACCATCAGATGTTTCTTCTCCCTCACTGTCAAGCTCCCAGGGTTTCCGATTTCTTGGCTTCTTTTTCCTCCTCTTGTTGTCCCTTTCAGCTCCATGCCTGTCTGCCTCTGGTAATCTCTCGTCAGCAGCTGAAAACAGGATAATTTAAGACTTACATGGAGCAGATCAAGTAATCCAACCTTTTTTTAAAAGCCTGAATTACAGCTGAGCAAACCTTCATCATCTTCATCCGGTGGTGTTGAGGGCCGTGGCCGTTTCATGTCGCCCTCTTCAAACTCTTGAGGTTCTTTCCGTTTCACCTGCATAGTTCAAAGTATTTTTTAAGAATAAAAAACCCCCAAAATTGACTTTACAAAGTCTGACTATTTTTCAGAACTAGAGGAAGTACCACAAACTGACCAAACACTTGTACACTTTTTGAATATTGTGGTACCACATAAAAATTCAAAATATTAGAATGACAATATCAGCTATTTTAAACTACACTCTTGACACCATTTATTGACTTAAGCTTGACATATACTGTGCTAAACATTTATACAGTATGGTTTACCTGTGACAGCCTTAAATGTAGCTTGAAGAGTATCTAATAAGAATTCCAACTACACAATGCACCAACACAATCATTATTATTGGTCCATTTGGTACTAACATGCACTGTAAATACTGCACTATTGACTGAGAAACAATAAGCATGAAAACAGCATGATGATAATGCAGTGAAACTTATGCTGTTTTATTATGTTCATGTCACATTCAGTCCATGTATGAACGAAATTACTGTCTTTTCTAACTCCTGACACTGGACAGGTCTCCCTTGTAAAAACAGAGTTCAGTACAACTAAATAAATGCTGTATTTATTAGGTCCAACATGGAGAACAGTTTCAGTTACCATTTAGTGACATCAACAAAGTGCCTCAACAAGGTGGCATACAAGCACCACTACCACCTAGTGTTTTGGTGGTGTAATGGCAAATGAGACACTCCAACAAACAAACATAAAATATGAAGGCAGTATAGATTCCATACAGTAACATGGAGATGAAACCAAAATCTGCAGCAATAAAGTACTGTTACCTTGAAAGAAGGCAGTCGTAGTGCTCCACGGAGAGAAAATCCCTCCATGCCACCACTCTTTGCCCAATCCACAAGAGACATGAGAGGCTCCCGTGGACGGTTGACCTTTTCCTCTTTTTTCTCTTCATCCCGTAACGCAGAAACCCCCCTAACCATCGTCTGGAATGGCTACAAAAAGTAGACATTTACAGAAGATATTACTTTTTTCTGGCCTCGTAACAACAATCTTTCTTTTATATAGTTAACTGACTAATAAAAGCATCATTGAACTGAGATGAAATAGTAACAGGAATGACATCTTTCATTAAAAAAAACAAACAAAAAAACATGCTAATTATAAAAAAATCAATTACAGTTAAATGGAGGAAGCACATACATAAACTAGTAAAATTATTAAGTAACAGGGTGGGCCTATTTATTTTATTTTACATGCACAAAAATTAACTGCAACCTTAGAAAGATGACCTTCATTATTGTTGAGGCTGGGCTTCCTTACCTTGGCCTTGGTCTCTTTCCGCTCCCACCACTCGTCAAAGGTGGCAAAGGCTACATTCTCCACCATCTTGCGGTTCAGGTCCCTTTGCATGATGTTCTTCATTTCTTGGATAAGAGTGGCCAAGACCATCTGCACTGTGGCTTCATGAGGATTCTCTGCCAGCATGGACATCTCCTCCCCTGGAGCCCTGTACTCATCTCCATCCCCAGGCAGCATCGTGCCATAGCCAGGTGGGGGCATATAAGATGGGTAGTGTGGCGGTAAGACATGTGGAGGCCAGCCAGTGTGTGGAGGCGGGATACCATGGTGTGGATGGGGTGGTATTTGAGTGCTGTGGGGATCGGGGTAGGGATAGGTCATGTGGGGTGGCATGTATCGGTGGTCTTGGTCATAATGAGTGCCTGCCCCATTGCCCTCTTGGTCCATGTAGGGGTGGTGTGTGTGATGTTGTGGAATAGAGTGGAGATGGTAGGAATTGTAGTCTGCAGTAGCTGCCTCACCCGGGCCTGTGGTGCCATTGGATGATGACATGCGCAGCTGGTGTAGGCGACTTAACATGTGGGTCTGCATTTGGAAAGACATAGGGGTTCCACCACTGTACTGGTTCATCAGCTCCATGGAGCTGGCATAGTCATACATGTGGTGAGGCATGGGGGGAGGATACTCAGGATGCAGCTCCATGTGAGGAAGGGGAGGAATCCCTGGTGGAGGTGGGGGTTGTAGGGAGTAACCAGGGGGTGGTGGAGGGGGCAGATGAGGGGGGTAGGATGGTATGGGAGGGTGCATGGAGGTGCCAAAGTGCTGTGCAGAGTCAGAGATGGGTGGGGGTGAAGATGAGGGGTCTGTTGTTTGTGAAGTCATGGCAGCCTGAGATGAAGAAGGTGAGGATCCTGAGGTGACTGATGGCTGGTGGGTGGTCACGGTTGTTATGGTCGTAGTCTCCTCCTCCTCATCTGAGATCTCCATGTCTTCTCCTGAGGAATGAGGAGAGGCCTGAAAGAAAACAGAATTTACTGTCTTAAGTTGAGAAACCACCCACATATTGAAGCAAATTCTCAAAATAACACTTACTGAATTATTTTTCTGTCCCACTTTTCTAACATAGAAACGGGCACATTAAAAGCAAGAAACCAAAACATGAACATTATGTTTGACAGCACTCAGGATGTTAATCACTGTGTCGGTACTGAGGAGGTTTTTATTCATTTCCACCAAATATTTATTTCTCTGCCCACAGACAGGTATTTCTGGGTGACTATCAAAACAACTGATTCTATTTATAAAAATAAATTGAATCAGGACAGATCATACCTGACTCTGTCCATTAAAAGGTGGTGTGTGGGCTCCTGTCCGGCTCTGTGCATCAGCAGATCCAGCCTGTGAAGACTCTTCCTGCAATGCTCCAGGACCAGCTGGGCCGACTTGGGCCTGAGTTTCCTCTGGGGGTGGGATGTGGGGAGAATAAGTAGAAACGGGTGGTGTAGATGCTGTAAGTACTGTGGGGCTCTTCCTGCCTTCTCCCCCTTTTCCCCTTTTTCTTCCTCTGTGGCCATCTCTGTCTCTTTCCCCTTTCCTCCTGTGGTCTTTCTCGCCATTGTCCCCCACCTGTTCCCGCTCCCCTTTCGCATCACTTGACCCACGTCTTGTTCCAGCTCCACTTCCACCCCCATGCTTCTCCTCTTTCCTATCCTCCTCATCTTCTTCATCAGAGGCAAGAAAAGAGAATTTAGCTTTTTGTTCCTTCAAAAGCATCTCAATACGAGAGTCCAGACTGCTGCTGTGGTAGACAAACGGTAAACTCTCATTGGTGGAATCTGGCTCTGGGGAGGACGAGTCCCTTTGAGGGGGTGGAGGGGAGCTAGAAGAAGATGAAAGATGGTGGGGAAGGGAAGTAGAAGAAGGAGAATTAGAAGAGGAAGCAATGGTGGGGTGGGGCGGAGAAGAAGGCGGGGGTGTCTTGGGTGGGGCAGGTGGGGTGCTGGGACGACGTTTGGGTTTTGTCCATTGTTCTTCACTAGCAGGACTATCCTGGTTGAAGTCCAGTGTTCCAAGTGTTTCTGCTACAGCTGCTGCAATAACAGAAGCTGGTGGGAGAGGAGGTGTGGGAGGTGGAGGGAGAGCACTGTGGTGACCATGGTAGTCTTTTTCAGCACCTAATGAAGGCAGAGAACCCCTCTCTGTGAGACTTGTGCTCCCTAGGCGAGTGGAAACGTCCAATCCCTGAGGAGGGGCTGGGGCAGGCTCTTTGGAGGAGTATGTAGAGTAAGATGATGGGGGAGGAGACATGCTGTTAGATGAAGAGCGGTACGAGTTGGAATTGTACCTGGGATCCGAACTGTTAGAGTAGTCACTGTCCCTGTCTCTATCTCGATCTCTGTCTCTGTCTCTGTCCCGGTCATGGCTGCTTCTTCTGCGGCTGCTGCTGCCATGGTGGTTGTGAGAATGGTGGTGGTTGCGGTGTCTCTGGTGGCCGTGGTCACCTGACCGAGAGCCCAGGCTGTCTCGCCTGTACCCCCTGTCATCCCTGCGATCTGAATGGTGGTGGGAATGATGGGAATGGTACTTTGAGGAAGAGTTTGTGTCTTGCTGGTGATGATAAGATGACCTCCTGGAACCAATCCCCGCTGGCCCATACCGTCCCCCTGAGTCTCTTTCACGCTCCCTCTCCCTTTCTGACATTAAGGGCTGATCATATTGGTTGGCAAGAGGTGGTGGGGGCATTGAGGAGTGGTGTGCCATGTGTGGCCCAGGTCCTCCAACATTAGGGTAAGGGGGGTAGCATGGTGGCTCATTGGGACGGTATGATGTTGTTGGGGGGTACATAGGACGACCCCGGTGATACACTGAAGGTTCCTGTGCTTCATCAGAGTAGCGTGACACTTTGTATCCTCCAACCGTCGAGGAGACTGCAGAAGACGAAGATGAGGAAGGTAACATGTCCTGGGGAGGGTAGCCGCTGCCCATTGTGCCAGTATTGTAACCAGGATGCCTAAAATGCAGAAATGAGGAATTTATATATGAACCACTAAGTCATACAATGATGCTTTTTGACTTTATGTGAAAAGGTAAAATGTGGTTTGTGTTGTAACGTCATTTAAATGTTTTTGTTTTAAAAGGGATGACATGAGAAAGATTTTGAGGTTGACATACAATACATACATACAGTGAAATCTAATTGTGGTGAATACTATATGGAAACTCAATGTCGCACAACTGAAACAAACAACCTGAGAGCATTTCCCTCCTCTGTGCAAGCCAAGCTAACAAAGGACACAATAAACAAAAACAAAAAAATGATGAAAGATGATAAGACCAGACCAGGTCTTTTGTACCAAAAATTTCCCTTCATATCATATGCACCAACAAGCTCAGGAAAGAAGTATATGGTAAAATATGGTGGAGGCTCGGTTATGGTTTGGGACCGTATTTATAATTATTAATGCAGAAAAGTACCATCAGATTTTCATCCACCACTCAGTACCATCTAGAAAGTGTCTGGCAATAGCTTCATTTTTCAGCATGACAATGATCCCAAGCATACTGCCAATCCAGTAAAAGCATAGAAACACAATAAAAGCAATAACAAAAAATGGACACCATCAGTCATGGACTGGTCTTTCCAATGCCCAAACCTCAACATTACTGAGGAAACAGAGAAGGAACAAATGACAGCCAACATCCAAATAAGAGCTTAGATATGACCTTCAAAAAGTCTGGAGAACTATTTCTGAAAACTACTTAAGTAAATTACAAGAAAGCTTGCCTCAGAAGGTTCAGGCTATGTGAAAAAAATAAAAGGTTGTCAAAACAAATATTTCAAGACTATCGAACTTGTTAGAATTGTACAAATCTTGTTTTTTTTGCCTCATAAACCTAATTTTCATGTATGACTGCATGTTTCAATAAATTGCTGCATCCATTTCTCATTTTCCTAGCAAAATATATCGAAACAAGGGGTGCCTCAGTCTTTTCCACAGTACTTTGAACCAAACCACAACAGTAAGACCACTTAAGGTAAATTTTATTCAAGATGCTTTGTTCCAGTTAATTATCAGAAACTAACCTTCCACCAGCATAGCCCGAGTCTTGTGAAAAAGGGGTCCCAGATCTTGAGCTGTAAGGTGTTCCTCCCCCACCCTGAGATGACGCAGAGGAGCTTGGGGTGTAAGGACCTGCCATGGAGGAGGGGGGCGTGTCTAGACGCTGATCATAGCCAGTCTCTACAGAAGGTGTGACATTTCCCGATGTGAGGGCCTGGACCCCTGCTGCCAAAACTGCAAGCTCACTGGAAAGCCTTCGCCTCATTTCTGATGGCTATGGAAACAGAGTAAAAATGTATAAAATTAAATGCATCTTCATTCAGATTACCACTCAAGCATGACATCACTAAATAAGTGAAGAGATGTTTGTGCAGTCACAATACCGTGTCAGGCTGTGGCTGTGTTGTAGTCTGAGGCTGAAGCCTGTCTGTCAAAGCCTTGCCTCCTAGAGGCACTGTCTGAGGAGTGTAGGACCCATTTACTATCAGGTCATAATATTTCTGCCTCTGTTGACCTGTATAAAAATAAAAGTCACAGCTATTTAAATGCAAGCTCTCAAACCGAATCAACAGACAAACAATTTATATCTAACATGGTTTGTATGAAAAACTTTAGATTTAACTGCAGCTTAAGTTTTTTCTGTGTCATTTGACTGTTTTGTTAGCAAGTCTTCTTCCTTTGAGGAACTGCTCATAAGATTACATGAAAAAGTGACTCCCTTTGTCTTTTGATTTAAAATTGCAAACTGCATATAAAGAAACTGCCTAAAGCATCACTGTAACAATGTGCATCAGATGGCAAAGAGGAGACATTTTAACTTACCTTTTATATCCAACTGAGCATGAATGATGTTCCCCATGACAGAGGTGTTGTGCAGCTGCTTGACTGTGTCCTTGGCTCCTCTGGTGCTGGTGAACAATACTCGGGCCAGGCCTAGGTGCTTTCTAGTCTTGGGGTGAAACAGAATCTCCATCTCCTCCACCTCACCAAACTTGGCACACATTTCTGCCAAGAAGGGTTCCTTGATGTTGTCATTGAGTCGAGCAAAGGTCACCTCCTTGAGAGGTATGGGACCCACATAGAACTCATCAAGCTGCGGTAACAAATTAAAGGATCAGTGAAAAGATAATCAAACAAAGCTCCCGAGACGTGTCAAATGAACACTAATCCAAGTATTCTCACCTTAAACTTTGGCACTGGCAGAGACAGCTCTGTATATCTGGACCACAGTCTCCGGGGTCTTGGATCTCGCAGTTCTCCCACAGGTGGAAATCCAGAGTCCTGGGGACGAAAAATAAACAGCATGCAAAATACAAACAATAGTCTAAATGATTGAAGATAAAAATAAATAAATAAAAGTGAACATTAACTCACTGGCACACTGAAATGCACTCCATCATATCTGTAGATCTTCTGGGTGACACGCCTAATGGCTGGGTCCTGGACGAGTTTGTAGCTTTTCCACTGCAAACTGACAGCTTTTTGTGAATCTGCCCCACCGTCTGGATCCATCCTACAACTGTCACACAAAGAAAGACCACCATTACACACACAGTGCAGAAGCTACTGATAGAAGAAAAAAAAAAAAGACCGGGCATCAGCACAGGGAAGTAAGCTTTAAAAAATCCCTGCGGAATTAAGCCAAACAGATGCAAAGTGCTGCAGTAATTACAGACTATGAGCACTCTGTATGGCAACCTGTCAGGCTAGCGAGCTGCGTCACATCAGCTGCTAACGATCAACTTTTCGGACATCTATATTTCAGTTGTAGTTCTTTTTGCATGGGTAAAATAAGTAAATTAAACAGACTAGCAAATGGGACGGTCTTATCCGCGGATATGATGCCGTGTGCTGTCAAAACAATGATCACCGTTACGTCACTGACCATATACTTCAGCTAGCCACCTGCTGTTAGCAACGGCTAACCTAGAATATGCAAACTGCTGCTTTCCGGCATCATGACAGATTTCACGTTCCACGCATTGAATCGGGCTTCAGAAACACTCAGTAAAACGCCCACCTATCCGTTTCTCTCACCTCAGATCAGAGCGAAGTGATTGTAAATTAGTTATGCCTTCTCGTTTTAGCTAGGGCAAGTCAACGGTACGGTAAGCTAATGCTAGTTAGCAAGAACATCACGTTAGGAGTTAAAAACTATGCTCTTCATGTCCCTCAACCCACAGCGATAAAATGTTACCAGTTACGTGCCTCACTACGAGGATCTGTAGACTCGTTTCACCTTCAGTTTAATTAAATTCAGACCCCTCTCCTCTTCGACACCTACTGCCCGCTCATCCGAAAGTAGCAACCCGCCGCTACAGTGTAGGCAGCTCCAGCCAGGCCCGGGAGACGAACAAGAAAAACACTGAGTTCTTAACAGAAACGGCTCACCTCCGGCCCGGCTTTAACGCAAAACCGATGAGCTAAAACGATACCGCTACCATTCCGACAGTTAGTCAAAACAGCAACACGCCTGTTCGAGCAACGGAGCCATTGTTTTCGCTTCGAAATCCTGACATTGTTGAGAGAGCGGCCATCGCGTAACTAACCTGAAAGCCTCGCCTGTTCTCCATCAGTGTGTTCAAAATGCAACCTGCGATTACTCACCGGCACTTTCGTCAAAGCTGAAACTAAATACAGGTAACTTTCACATTGACACATAACACTGTACACACAACAGCATTAAAAATTGTTAATGTAAATAAAGTCATTTGTTTTATTCAGCGTGAAATTTACGCATTTTTAAAAATTGGTTTGAATCTGCTCCTACATTCGCAAGTATAAAAAATGGCCAAAGGTCCCTCTAGCGGCTGATAAGCAAACCTACCTCAAAATTACTGTCAAATGTAATTTATTGTATATTAAAATCTTTCAAGGCTCATATTATACTTGTAGTGAACACGTTAAAGGAATTTATTTCAACATATTAAGTGTATTTATACCGCTACATCTTGAAGAATTTAATTACTTGCCACATACACAATTACACATCTATAATGTGTAGTGAAATGCTTAAGTGCCAGACTGGCTGTACAAAAGAAAGAGAAATAGAGAAGTATTCCAATCAGCACCCCCCATTGTGTTAGATAGCTGGTTAACAGCTATCAGTTGAGTAGCTGAGTATCAGATAGGCAGTGTGTGAGTTGCAGTCTCATTTAGCAGTCTCGCAGCTTGAAGGTAAAAGTTCCGCCTCATTCTCTTCACTGAAGTAACTACACTCCTGAGGGCCACCATCAACGTCGTGATGCTCCGACTAAGGATGCTTTCTATAGTGTAAGAGTAGAAGTCCCTGAGCATCCCAGCCAGGAGTTTGAAGTCCTTTTTCGTTATCTAAAGTAGGAGAAGCAATGATGGGATTTCCTTATCATAAAGTCATCTCTGATAGAACAGCAGCCAGTGGGCACAACTTGGAATATTGATGCTGCAACTTGCTGCAAATAAGCTACAAACCATGAAATTCAAATAATTCGGACTGACCTTAGGCACAGAAGATCTAAACAATCTCCAAAGCTTCAAGGTGGGCACTCAAGATTTTGTCTCCAGTTCAATAATTAACCAGATGTAAAATATGCTTATAAGCTCCTTCTGGAGTACCTGCCTTGTAATGTTGAATAGTGTGACAATAAAGTTGGTCTTGGACATTTTGGATAGGAGATTCCATAATTTATTAAATAAGTTGATTTACACCAAGTTGGTTACACTGCAGGGATATCAATCTGTCCGGTTATGAAGAATAAACTGTTGCAAATCCATGTTGTTGGGGGCAGTATAACATTTGCCATGGTGTCCCTACACTCCGTCACTTGAACACACCAAGGTGCTTAGCATGAGCTTGTTCTCATCTGTGTAAAGAACAGGGTGCCAGTGGTGGACCTATCAAGCTGCATGGGGCACAACTGTGATTGCAGATCTTACTAAAAGATACCAGGACCTCGTGTCACCACCATGGAGCCAGGTCCAGAGTCCAGTCACAAACATGAACCAGGCTGGAGGGCATTTTCCAGAGTTCTGGTAGGGATCCCTCTGATTCTCTATGGAAAAAGGAGCAGATATTATTCCTGCTGCTGGGCTGATGCCCCTCTAACCTCTTGAGACTGCTACAAGAACCAGAACCTTTGTGTGACTCTGCCAGGTTGGCAGAGTCACACAAAGGTTGTTGACTCCCCATTGCATCAGTTGTCACTTTTAATGTCCCAAAGCAGGTGAAATGGATTCATATTGGTTCTAGCTTTCTAACTGGACAGATCAATTGCCTGAAGTTTAACCGACTTTGTGTTAGAGTGTGACGAGTATCTATTATCCCTCTGATTTATTCGAGATGAAAAAGAACTTACCTGTCAAAATATGTAAGAACTGGTTTGTGCTGCTGAATTGTATATTTAGTAAATTGATGTAGTTCTAGTTCACCTTTAAAAGCAGGGCAGCAATAAACTGCCAATAATACTAACAAGTGCTTTCTGTTACTTTAACCAGAGAGGGGAGTTCATTAAACAAACATCTGGGACTGTCACACTTAAAAAAAAAGAAAAAAAAAAAGGAACTAACATTTTACCAAAGACAAGGATTAAATTATTTTAGCTGACAAAATGACAAGTCCATTTCTGCACTTCATTTCTCCAGATTCAGTAAACTATTAAACACCTTCATGATTACAAATGACTTCCAGCCTCACAGGACTATAATATTTCAGCCTGTTAAGACACGACCATGCCGATGTTACCAAATGTAGCTCAGACTGCTGACGGAGTCCACTAGTTAAATTTAGCACCAAGCCCCACCCGTATTCTGGTGCCCATTTTATCCCTTCACTCTTTCAACAACTACCACCCAAAGAAGTATATCAATTTAATAGTGAGAGACTATTTTATTACCCACACACCACACTAACACCCATAACCAGCTGCCTTGTCATTTACCATTAAAAACAAAGTTTTCCAACAGACTCCAGTACATTTTATTGTTTGCTCAGATAAAGATTAGAAACAACTTGCAAGAAATCAACCACATTGCATATATAAATTAAAACGTCCTTGACAGTATCATTTATTATATTAATGCTAATATATATCCAATGAAACCACAGCAATCCTTTTATTCCTTTAAAAAAATGTGTTTGAGTATTACCAAATAGCGTATTCCTTCCCTGCAAATTAAGGTTAAAAAGCTCACTGAGCTACGCAACGTTCATGAAATTCAGGGAAAAATCTTGGTGTGAGAAGTGGTGACAGATTCAATGGTGAAAAAGGTCCTCATATTCACTCACAGTTTTTAAGATTTAGCCACTGACATGGATCAGGTGGTGATACAAACAGCTAAGCTCGACATATCCAGAGGTGCAGGACGTCTGTTTGAAGCTTTGAGCGACTTGTAAGGAAGAGCTGTGGACGTGGTGAGACAAGCTGGAAGAAAACGGTCTGAGCTGAGCACTGCTTTTATGTGTGCTTGTATCCTCATCCCTGTGGTGATGTTTCACATGGCTTTGACTTTGATCTGCTTCATCTTCATCTGCTTCTTCTCAATCTTCTTCTGCTCACGCCGCTGGGCAGCTTCCTGAAAATGTCACATGAGAGAGTTGAATTTTGCAGATTTTGCACACTTGCTGTCTTGCTAAGGTATAAGTGTCTTAATTAAAAGTGTTGTGACACCCCAACACCATCAATGTACATTATAACTGATAATATTAGTCACTTGAACTGAAGATATCTAAAAGATATTCAAAGCCGATTGCATTCAGAGATAGACTTGCAGCAGTCAATTGCTGATCATGAAACTCCCTCAACCTCTGGCCACTTTTGATCAGGCTAACTGCAATCACTCAGATTGCTGTTGTTATTTCCAAACTTTCACCAATCTGATTTACAATAACAGACAGTTAGTTTGAAAACATGTTGCAACCAGTCATTAGGTCCTGCTTTTTAATCACACTTGCATACCAGAACACCAAATGGACAAGGTCCAGACTTCTTGTCACACTGCTGCTTATTGTCTTTGCTCCCAAGCGCAAAATCTATTAGTTTCCCTCGTACAGAGCTTTTTCCGTCTGTGCCACCAAGGCTTTGGAGCAGATTACCACTCCAGCTCTGTTTATCTGACTCTGTGGAGTCTTCTTCTCACAGTCTTCATTTATGTTTTTTAAGTTCTTTTTTTAAAACATGGTTCTCTGTTGATATTGTCTTTTAATTGTGTCCGGCACTTTGTGTGTTTTTTGTCTATGAAAAGTGGTATATAAATATTTTAGTTACTCACTAGTGGGTTTTACCATGTTTGGCCAGTTTTTCTTTTTCTTTTAGCTAAAGCCATCTGCACATTTACTGCATACCATATCATATCATTTTGAGTGTATTCAGTCTGAAAAGTTCTTGTTGCAGACCTCCAGACGACGTTGTCTCTCAGGGTCCTCTTCATTCATGATCCTCTCCTTCTCTGCTCTCTTCTTCTCCTCCCGCCGTGTTTGGGCTGCTTCCTGACGCTGAGCGTGAGTCTGCTTCAGGAAGTTCTCTTCCACACGGGCACGGTTTTTATCAGCTTTCTGTTTGCCCTAAACATACAAGAATGATTAAAAAAGAAGCCAAAACATTAAAAACACTGCAATAGTGGGTGCACTGTACACACCTCTCTGTTCAGACGAAGCTTCTTGACTTTATCGATGCTGTAGATCACCATGTTCATGAGAGGAAGCAGAGCGTCCATGTCTTTGGGAGAGGTGTTGCCCATGCCAGGCACTGAATATAAAAACATAAAATATATTAAAATAAACACCAGTGAAATCAAATTAGGTTTAATGACGATGTCCAAGACAGTGGCAGAAATGACATGCTCACCATTAAATGTAAACAGCAGTGTCTTCTTGGTCTCAGGCAGCTTTAAGGGCTGACCCTCCCTGAAGCATCAAATAAATCCATCAGTAGACAGAAATTCTTAACTATAATCTGAAAAAGTAAATGATTACTTACTCTTGCATAACTTTTGGACCAGAAAATTGGTCCGAGAAATGGATGGACTCAATCTTATCAGCATGATTGGTGATATAATGTACCATCTTAAATGACAAAAAAAAAAAAAAAGGGAGGCAACACAGAGTTTTAATGACAGCAACAGATTTAAAGAGAGTATTCTCAGAATATTCAGTCTCTTTTATGACACTGCTTTGATATGAGAGCCAGACTTCACCTTGTTGTCCATCACACCATCCGTAACCTCGCCCATCTCACTAAGAATAGCCAGGGAGTCTGGGAGCCCATACTTGGCTCCAGACTTTGGCTTATCACCACAGAACTCACTCTGAGGAAAAAGAGATAAAAAAAATAAATAAAAGAATACATAAAAACAAGGCTTTTATTTTAATATTAATGCATAGCTGGTAAAAATTCAAAGAATTCAGACTACACAAGTCAGTATTTGCATAAAAACAGTGAATTTCAAAATTGCATGTCCAATTTGAGGAGGAAACTCACCAAGTCCTGCATCTCCTTCTGAAGCCGGGCCATGGCCTTCTTGGTGCCCACAGCAAATACAAAAGTATCCATGTCCTCATCATTAAGAGTCACTTTGACTTGCTGCAAAAAAAAACAACAACCCCAAAACAAAATAACAACAAAAACCAACCCACAGACGCGGCTGGTTAGAAAGTGTATCTGCAGCAATATGCAGCGGAGAGAAAAGAAAAAGTGAAAACGTACCACTTGGTCACAGGCGGGCCTCATCATCCTGGCCAAAACGTTAAGCAGGTCCTGCCTCTTAAGAAACTTTAAAAGACAATAAAAACATGAGATACATGTAGCATACATATATCTAATACTCATACTTGTATATCAGAACACATTGCCCACACCTTGAGTTGGATCAGCATGCCTTCACAGCACACACGTCCAGAGCACCAGAGGTTGTAGATGTGCTCATTTTCCTGGTTCAGCTTCCCAGTGCTTATCGCTTCTTTACTGGTGCCATCATCACCTACAAAGTGTCAACAGTTAACCTCATGCTAACCATTAACACTAAATACAAGGAAGCAGAGCTAGCCTGTTGAGTCATCTTTCTGGCAGCGTGGAAAGAACTCACCCACTAGTGCAAAGTTGCTTTCAAGAAGCTCCCTGTGCGAGTTAAACCAGGCCTGAGCCAGGCGACTGTTTTTGTTCTTTCCAATGATGTAGTTCATGATATAGGCCAGCAGGCCCGTCACCATCAGGATCTCCATGTAGTAACTCTCCCAGCTGTTCTGGAGATGTGCAGGAACCTGCAGAGAAGCAAACAGCCAAGAGTATGGTAGCTCAGTCAGGAATGAAGATTAAATTTAAAGGGAAAAAAAAGAAGAAAATAAAGATTAATTTATAATTTCTCACTCTAAGGCCTGTTTTTATTATCCTTGTTTTTAATATAAACATTTAACAGCATCTTTAATAAAATTAGAAGATTTTAAATTAAAGGTTTATTACACTTCACTACAAAATGACTCCTAAAAGTACCTGGAAGCCTCACTGATCTTGAAGTGAGTCAAAGGTTTTTGCAGGTGGTCCTTCCTTAGGATCATTATTAGCCTGCAGCTGTTTGCTAATACATTGTGCCATTTGGTTGTTGCTTTTGTTTCCCCAGTGATGTTGCGCTGTTCTTCCCTAGGTGGATTAGTTCATTGCTGCCTGGGGCTCTTGTTGCCCCCATCTACACCCACAGGCATGCTGTGGGCCAGCGGGGACTGACTGCAGCCCTGGAAAGACTGGTTTACAGTCAAAAAACACTTGCTAGTCTGAGCCTAATGATTACAGAATGACCTTGTGTCTTCCAACACATCCACTTGTTCAGCCGTACATGTTTTATTTAAATTAATCTGTCCTTAAACTTTAAATTTAATTTTTTAGTTCAATAAGGCTTGTTTATTAAAATAATAATTAAATGTGATTTTTGCCCTGAATTACTGAAGTTTGTGTTTGTTTTTTTAAGATGTTCTGAACTATTAAACAATGGCAATTTTTAAAAACAAAAACAATCTTCAGGTTGAAAACTTGGTTGATTTCTTTTTGACTGTAACATCATGGGGATATTACAGGTTGCTACTTTTGTTCTGGAATGACTGTACCGTTTCTAAATAACCCCAAACCTGGTTTGACATTTCTGAGATCGGTCATTCCTTTGCAGACATACACAGACACCACTGTGTATGAAACAGGTGAATAACAGCCAGGGTATCAGTCTGACTAACTCAGTAATCTAGCTCAAATCAGTGCAACTCTGAGACTATTTTACTCAATAGACTGATGAGGAGGGCAAGCTCTGTCCTGGCCAGTCCCCTAGACTCCATAGAGGTGGTGAGAGGAGGATTATGGTCGATGTACAGCTCCTCTCTCTCCCCCTGCATGAGAATGTGGAGGCCCTGAGCAGCTCCTTGAGCATTAAACGGTTACAGCCATTGTGTAGGACAGAGCACCATAGCTCCTTCCTCCTGACAGTAGTTAGATGGTACAATTCACACACATAATAGGGTGTGTTACATGTGCTAAAACTCAGTCCAGATCAAAAGTTTAAGACCAACTTGAAAAATGTAAAAAAAAAAAAAAATAATTTAAAAACAATCCACATTCAAAAGGTAAAGTTTTTTTGCCTTTGCCATCAGAACGTCATGACAGTGACTACCTGACAGAAAATTACAATGAATCCACATTTTTGCACAGATTTGCCCTTTTAAAAGGCATGTGGTCCTAAACTTTTGATCAGCCTGTTTCAGTTTAAGAGTTGTTTTCAATAAATTGCACGCTCGAGAAAAAAAAAAAAAGTTTAGTCTCACTCCCATTTCTTCGTGTTGGATGCTGAA